TACTCTGTTGGCGACGACTGATTTCCGCTCCGTTCCCCCTGAAAACCATGTGTTCCCCCAAAAAGCCTCTTCCCCCAACCCTTAAGTGAAAGATAATGATTGGTTCCTTTAAAGAGTTATGGGAAAATTTGGTTTGTGTTTTAAGTCTGGTTTGTGCAGACTGATTGGTCAGTTTTGCTGTGATACTATTGGCTGCAAGACTCAAGTAGCTCTTTGGGTTGTGATCGTTCAATGTCTAATGTTGGTGACGGTGACATCATAACTACCATTTTGCACTTCTGTTATGAATATGAGTTTAGGATTGGAATTATATATATATATAAATCTTGCTTTGAGGTCAAAAGTGACTTCTCCTATTTGGTTATTATGCTTGCGTTTATGGCACTAACATTTTACTAATAGTATTAAAAGTTTCATTATTCTCTCATTCTTAAAAATTTAAGGAAACACTTACTACATTCCCAATGCGTATAACCAGAGACTTAATGTGAAGATTGGCTTGCAACATTCCAGAACTCAAGATGATTTAACGGCTACATCGGCTCGGTATGCGACCGCATGGCTCGACCATGGAGTGGACCCAACGGACAAGGGTTATGAATACACCATATTGGTTGAAGGACCCTCAGAAGAAATCCATGTAGGAATTTTTCGAGTTTAAGAAAATATACGACACTTTTTGAAAACATGTTTCGACAGTTCTTCAGTCATCTTCAGTTCTGATTTATGCAAAGTACAAGTTGAATTTAAAGTGTGTAACAAAGTGCTGATTGGACAAAACAAACAATAGAAACAGAACAATGTATGCAGTTACAAGGAAAGTTTTAAATCAACATGATATAGTTGAAGTTTAACTGTATATAGCTCCCATTGAATGATTAACAAAATGTCGTATGTTTTCTCAAATTCGTGACACATCTGCTGCTACCCAGACCTTTTGGCAATTTCAAAGTTTATTTGACGATTCCTTTAGCCATGCGCATTTAAACAATTAGCTCTC